GGGAGCGGCGCCCGCGGCCCACGGCCTCTTCAGCCTGCCGGTGCCCTCCCTGCTCGGCTCCGTCGCCAGCCGCCTGTCCTCCGCCCCGTTGACAATGGCCGGTTCGCTAGCGGGAAATTTGCAAGAACTCTCAGCCCGGTACCTGAGCTCCTCGGCCTTCGAGCCTTACTCCCGGACCAACAATAAAGAAGGGGCCGAGAAAAAAGCGCTGGACTGATTTTAAGTGTTTCCCTGTATTTATATTTATAGTATCTATTGTGGTGATATTTATGGACTCGCGCGCGGTAGGCGCGCAGGGATTGTGCGGTGGCCTCCCGCTTCCCGCCAGGCCCCCGACAGCCGCGCCCTTCCCCGAGGCGCGGCTCCCGATCTCCTTTTACTTGAGCTCTTCTCCTCTCCCTCTGCCTGGCCTTCGTACCTCCCGCCTTCTCCCCAACTTCCTTCTCGATCCTGGAGCAATCCAAAGAATTGGGGGGGGGATGCCGGAATTAGCCAACCTGACGTCCCAAGCAATGCCCAGCCCTGGAAGAGAAAACGACCGGCTGTAAACCCGCAGCACGGGACCCCGCGCTCCCTCGGGCCTACGCCGGTCGCTGTGGATCCGTCCTAGGAATATTTGAAGGAGGAAAGTTACGCGCAGCACCCCTTTACCTCCGCCCCCCACCTGAAAAGGCTTGTAGGTTTCTTTAGATCAAGAAGGAAGACCTTTCTGCCTCTTGCCAGAGATAACCCAGGGGCTTTTCTGAGAGCCCGGGGGCCCCTCTTTGAGGACCCCTGAGAACTTCCAACTTCCCTGGCCGGACAACCCCTGCCCCAGTGTCCGCCCCTAGAGGGTAAAACACCAATTCCCCACCCCCACCACCCAGGAAATGCTCAACCAGAACACCAGAGCAGGGCAAAGGTGGTGATAACGATGATCTAATCAGCAATAAAGAGTATTAATTACTGTAGGAAACCTGAACGGTTTTTTTTAAAATATTCGTGATAGTGGAGTTTGGAAGGTGTAAGAAAGGTTAGAGAACGCATCCCTGGCCAACGCGAAGTTAAAGTTCTAGATGTTGTGACTTCAGGCAGCAATTTAAAGAGGGAAAAGGAAAAGGGAAAGCCAAGGTCGTTAGTGAGAGAATCTTCATCATCTTTTCTCCAAGGCTGTTTGGGAGGTAGTCTTTGCTTCCAGCTCCTCCCTGAGAGAAGCAAGGTGGCTGGTGACTGTCCCCAGATATAGCATGGGTGCTTTGCTCCCCAAGTCTCCCAGAAGCACAGCTCAGGGGCAAGATTGCTGGATTTGACCCGAATCAACCCGCATCGCCTCCTCTTCTCAAACGCGCAGGTTCCCAAACCCGTTCAAGCTTGCAGGAAACGCCTGGAGTTGGTTCTAAGGGGAGGGAGGACTTCAGTCAGAACGTCCTCGCTACCTGCCTGGCTGGTAGGTAGGGAAGAGATCTCCTTCACGCCCCATTTTCAGGCTTGCAGTGGTTTCGAATGAGAACTTGATGCCGCCCAGCAACCGCAGTCCCCCGCAGCCGCGGCCACCCGCATTTTAACCAAAACCTTAGACCCAGACGGTGAGGGGCCGCAGTGTCTAGAATGTATCTGTCCATCCGAAGCGAGCGCAAAACATTTTTAAAATAGTAACTTTATTGTAAATTATTTACGTCGGAAGCTTTTATTTTTCCTTTCTTCCCCCCTCCCCTTTTTTTAGGCAAATAGTGAAGAAAATAACGATTCACACGCGGGTAGGCGTCACTGAATCCTGGCTACTAACTTTGTTCTGAATGTTTTGGATATCTGGATGTTTTGTATTTATGTGGTGAGAGTGAAATATATATATCTATGAAGATAATTGAGATGTATTTTTGTCTTATATTTAAAGGATTTTAAAAAATACTCCAAAAAAAAAGAAGAAGAAAAAGAAGAACCAGCAAATGGTGTCGGCCTGGGAACTCCTGGGTGCAGGGGGCGGTGAACGGGCCCTTTGGTCTGGTTCTGTGAGCTCCTTGGGATAAGGTTTGAGTGTGCTATGTTCCTGGAGAGGCAGGGACACCTGGCTCTGAGGATCTGGTCCATTTCTTTGGATGTGTCAGTCTGTCCTCATGGTTTCCAGACTCCTCAACCCCTCTCTCCTTCCCCTTCCACTTGCCACTACACGTTTCTTGCTTAATTTAGAAATCATCTCTGAATAGGAACACAGTCAGTTTCTAGAGTTCCCCAGCAACATCATCTCAATTGGGATTTTGTGCAATCAAGGAACCCCAAAACAAGCAAGATTTTCTTCTGACTTAGGGCAAGTCTCTTCGCAAAGAGAAACTTGGAGGGAGCCAAAGAATGAAAGATGTTTTATTTCCTAGAGGTGGGGGGTGACCTCACCCTGCTCCTGGTCCCCGGACCGACGAAGTAGTGGTGTGGTTTGGGATGGAGAGTCTCAAGATGGTGGGGACGCTGGGACTGTCGGGTGGATGCCAGCGCCCAGTGCCATTGCTTCCAGGTTGTGTGGCCTGGGCCATAGTAAGGGCGGTGGCCACAGCTATCGGGGTCCTTCCCGTGGAATCTGCACATCTGGATTTGTGGGGACCCCACAGCACCCATACAAGCCAGGCTCCTCAAAATTCCCCACTCCTTTGTTGTGTGTGTTTGTACCCCCAATCTAAAAGAAACAGTGGCACAGTGTGGGCAGTGAAGTATTTAAAGTGAGTTGGGGTACCCGAGGTCCCCTGAGTTCTCTGTTTGGCTAGGAGCAGAACAGCTGCCCGCACACTTTGGTTTTTCTAAGTCACTGCGGATTCGTCAGTTTTGCAGGGTTTGATTTTTTTTTCCTTCTTCTTCCAAGCTCTCTTCCCTTCCTGTCCCCCCCACTTCTCTCTCCCTTACTTTCTCCTCCTCCCTCTGTCTGTTGTGTGCACCTTGCACACACACACACACACACACACACTGTGTCTCTGTTGTCTCAGGGGCCAGGCTGTGGGTGGCTCTGGGTCCAGTTTCAAGACTGGTGGCAGCAACCCTCCAGGAAGGGAGAAGTGGGGGGGGGGCGGGGGGCAGGGAGGGGAGGAAGTTGGCATAATTTTACATAACAAAAAGAAACACAAAAATCCCAGCTTTGGGGTTCCTAAGAAGCCCAGCCCTTACTCCCAGGACACCCTGAAAGGAGGTTGCCTAGCAAATTCTCCCTTCCAGCCTTCCCCACACTCCCCCTGGCTTGCTTCTTCCACCTGTCTCCTCTCAGCTCTCTCCTCCTTTTCCTGGCCCTGGCCTTGGGCAGGACTGTGAGCTCTAAGCCTGCCACTCACAGCACTGCCTAAAGAGCCCCTTCTGCGGGGGGGGGGGGGGGAAGAATCACCGTTTTAATTAAAAAAAACATTTGTAGACAATTCCTTTAATTTTAGTGCTTGGGGTTGTTTACTCTCTTCTCCCAAGGGCTTCCAGCAAGCTCCCTTGGTTTCTGGAAACCTCTGGTGAGGCCTCGGGACTCGCAACTGGAGACTCACTGGATAGGGAGGGAGGAGGCAGTGGCTCGGGGGCGATGGCAGGCTGTGCCCCGGGGAAGGTGGGCGAGCTCCCGGGAGTCTCCGGAACAGCTGCAGGGTGGGTGGGCTAAGAAGAATCACAGATGCAGGGCTGCACAAAGCAACATCCAAGTTGTTTGAGAGCAGAAAAGAAAAGGAAAGAAAACCTTTCACCAAAGCCCTGTGGGTTTGTTTGGTGGTCAGGTTGGAGAAGGATGTGGGAAGCTGCTGAACTGGGCCATATGCGCACCTCCACCGGGGCTTAACCCTGAGCCACAGTGTATACTCCTAATGAGTAGCCTTTAAGCGACTCTTTTTGGTTTACAAATAGCATCTCACACATGCCATTCTTTGATTCATAATGGTAGCTTTGGGAGGTCCAGCCCCGTTTTAAAGATCTGCATACAGGATTGGAGCAAATGACTTGCTCAAAACCACATGGCTGGTCAGAACCACAAGATTATAAGCTCTCCCTAGGGCCAGGCCCTCCCCTTCCATTCCTTCCCCCCTTTTTTTCTGTGTGCCCCTTCCTTCCCTCTCTCCCTGCTTTCTTCCTTCTTTCTCTTCCTAGTCAATTGGTGTCTGGCTCAAGCTACCTGAACTCACTAACTCATTTACATTCATAGTTATCAACTTCCTTTTTTTTTTTTGTGGGACTTGAACTCTGGGCCTGGGTGCTGTCCTCAGCTCTTCAGCTCAAGGCGAGCACTCTACTACTTGAGCCACAGCACCACTCCTGGTTTTCTAGTGGTTTATTGGAGATAAGAGTCTCACAGCCTTTCCTGCCCAGGCTGGCTTTGAACCATGATCCTCAGATCTCGGCCTCCTGAGTAGCTAGGATTACAGGCGTGAGTCACCAGTGCCCGGCTTCAACGTCCATTTTCAGTGCTCATTTGATTGTTTTACTTATTTTATTGCAGTGTAGAGGATTGAACTCAGGGCCTTCCTCACGTTAGGCGAGGGTTATGCCGTGTTCTACAGTCCCAGCCCCTGCTAGCCCTCTTTCTACTATGACAAGTACTGAGGCATCCTTGGTGAGGGGTCTGACTTTCTTATTTCCATTTTCTTACCAGTTAGTAGCCAGTATCACAGCTCTTTCTTCCATGTCCTCTACAATAATATCTCTATTTATTTATTTTTTGTCGGTTGTGGGGCCGAAAATCTGGGCCTGGGCGCTGTCCCTCAGCTCAAGGCTAGCACTCTACCACTAGAGCCACAGTGCCACTTCTGGCTTTTTCTTCTTATGTGGTGCTGAGGAATCGAACCCAGAGCCTCATATGCAAGGCAAGCACTCTACCACTGAACCACCTTCCCATCTCCAATATCTTTTATTTTTATGTATGTATATGTATTTTTTGGTGCAGGTACTGAGATTGAACTCAGGGTCTTGAACTCAGGGCCTCATGGTCTGGCTTGTCCTTTTCTGCTCAAGGCTAGTGTTTGAGCCATGCCTTCACTTCTGGCTTTTTGCTGGTCCATTGGACATAAGAATCTCACAGACTTTTTTTGTCTGAATTGTCTTTAAACCACAATCCTCAGGTCTCAGCTTCCTGGGCAGCTAGAATTACAGGCATGAATGACCAGCACTGGCTCTGCTACTACGGCATCTCCATATCCCTTGCAGGCTTTGTTCTTGTACTTCCTTAACCTTTTTTAAAATGGAGTTATCATATACACATGATAAACATATGTAGTGGTAAAGCACATGAAGCTT